TCGTCACCGAAGACAGATTCCTTGTATATATTTTATACTTGGTCATTAAAGTATTTGTATTTGTATTTGTATTGTATTACTGAAAGAATAAGTGAGATAAACAGTACTTTTGAAGACTATACATTTTTATGTGAGATACATATTTTTAGAATTTTGCTGCAATCCTCAAACTGCATTGCTGCAGTAAGGCAATCTAAGATGTACATTTCTCATTTGCTTTCCCAGCTCAGCTAAGCCTGTTTGGTCAGTAATTCACTGTACAAAATACCCAAAAGAGAGTTACCTTGGTGACAGCTTGTAAACTAAACAGCCTGAATGTAGCTCTCAACACCAGAAGGATCTGTATTGAGAGAGGAAGGATCTTCAGTGGATAGTACATAGCAGCTCTGCAATCATGTTTCTTCCCTTCTTAGAAATCTATATTGGAAGAATCAAACTCAAGGTAAGGTAGAATTTCATCAGAACATCTTTATTTCTCTTCCCAGTAAATAAAATTCAACATGTGACACATGTGAGCAAAAAAGCTATTTTAATATACCAATTTGCTTTGATAACTGCAACTGCATTGATCTACAGTACTTGAACTACATAGTTTTAATTCATCCATTGTATTTGTGATACAACGGGCATATGGATTCTGCTAAAATAATGTTTGCTGTCTGTGCTAATATCACCTATAACTATATTTTTAGTTATATTGGTTATATATATAACCAATATAACTATATTGGTTGCTAATGTCAGTAAACTTGTAAGCAAGTGTAATTTGGAATATTTTGATCTCCCATCCTAGATGAAATTTGCATTGGGCTGCTTCTCATTTGGTAGGCTGAGCTGTAATCAAGAAATATACTTTCTACTATTTCCACCTATCAGTCCAATATGGATGTGGTAAATAGCATAAAAGAGACAAACAGCATCTTAAGACAAGTGAGCTGCCAGGTTTGCCACTGAAATATTTTTTTAAAAATCTCAGCTGATGATACACAGTATGAAAGGACTGCCCCTTTGCTTTGAAGCCCGTTGCACCCATTCTTTTGTTTCTACATGCTTCATTGTTTTGCAGTAACTGAAGGTGTTCATCATGATCTGAAGTATTGTACACATCTTAGGTCCAGCTGGGTCCCCTCAGCCCAGAAGAAAGGAAAAGGTTAGATCACAACACCCAGAATTCCCACTGTTCACGCTGTTTGGAAATTCTACAAATGGTAGTCCTAGCCTCTAATTACAGATTGTCCTAAATAATCCTTTGGATTCCAATCAGTTATCACTTTGCTTTCACACAGCTTTTAGGTGGTGTACACTAAAGCAATGAATTTGTTATATATACACTCGGTCCAGCAGAAGGGGGATGTTGCAGACCCCACCATCAAGGAATTTAAGCTGGTGGGGTCTAGGAAGAGGGCCTTTTCTGCCATGGCCCCTGCCCTGCGGAACAACTTACCATCTGAGATCCAGTATGCCCCCACTCTCATGGCCTTCTGGAAGAGTGTGAAATCTTGGCTATGCCAGATGGCCTGGGGGCCTGATGGGGGCTCGCATTGTTGGAATTGGTTGGTGGGGTAATTGATTCTGCCCCCCATCTTCTTGAATTGTATATAGTCTTTTTATATAGGTTTTTTTTTTTTGCTAATTTAATGCGGATATTTATATTTTTACTGTTTTTACTGTTTGATTTTAATTGTGAGCCGCCCAGAGTCACCTTCTGGGGGAGATGGGCAGCATATAAATTTAATAAATAAATATATAAATATACCAGTTTTGTACCTTTTTGTTCCACCAAGCCTGGGTTCTGTACCCTCATTGTTAAATGGCTTTAGGCAACACAGCTAGTAAAAGGATGCTCTTATTGTTGGTTGTTCTTCTTTCCATTGTAACTTCTAAAAAGTAAAATAAATGCTGTTTTTATTAAGTATAATATTTAATTCACATAGGAATTTTATTTCTAAAACATTAATAATAGTATTAATTATTTTCTGCAACTTACAGATGAACTTTTTGACAACCTATCAAAACAATACAACTTCCTCCAGTAAAAAACACCAAGAAAGAAAATAATGCTAATGATTTTTCACATATTCTGAATCCTCAGTCTACTCCTCTAAAGTATACTGATCTCTAGGCAGATGGTCACTGGTAGAGATACTTGAAGCAGACTGATTATCACATTCTCATTAATACATCTGGAAGCTTCTCTGTGCAGTTGGGAAATTCACATTCGTTCACTCAGAACAATATTACATAGCCTATGGCTATTCCAAAGCCTGAGAAATTGAACTCCAGTTGAAATGCAACAAATCGGAAGCATACATCAAAAATGTACCAAATTGTGAAACCCACAAAGTACTAGTGACCTCTGAGAATATAAATAATATAAGCAACAGTTGTGATTTTGATTGTTCTGATGCTGTTTCAGCCCAAGTGAGATAATATTTACTGAAGCAAAAGAATCAGAATGTCATCCTTGAAGACAAAGATATTTTTAAATCCAAGGAGTGGGAAAAAAGTTGCAATAACTAAGAGTGTCCCTAAATTAGATTAAGCAAAGCAGAATCATCAGAGGTGAAAATATCACAACAAAAGTGTAAAAAGGGTTGGATTTGGAAGTGCTGCTGTGCAGAAGAAAGCTGTCAAAGATCATGCCTTAATGACTCAGTACCTTAGCTGGTCTTGAATTATCTGATACCACTGTTTGCCCAACAGGTGGCTTGAATAGAAAATGTAATTGAATCTGAAGCAGCTGAAAGCAAGATTATTGAAGCTGTTCCCGTCCATCTATGTATGAACCTCTTCAACTTCCCCTAACTTCCACATGTTTGTCCCAAGAAAGAGCATGCTATCTAACATAAACCAAAGCTTCAATATTTTTGCTCACAAGAAGGGTGACAGATTTAAAGGAAATAGGCCTCTTTTAAGAACTAAAGTGTGTACCAGAATGGCTCAGGAATTAATGATTTGGGGCAAGAGTTCCATTCAGCATCAAACTAAGATAAAACATCCTATTTCTCATTCTTTAGGATTGTCTCATGAAGAGACTGAGATATCTTCAAAGTTTCAGAAGAATAATTGCCAACAGGAAAAAAAATGCTTCCAGCACAATGGGCAGAGCTCCACAAAGCAAGTGCTTCCCTGTATTTCCCAAAATTCTGCTAGCTTGAGAGAAGCAATGTCTCCATTGCCTGTTGGACAAACACAATCCTCAGTAGGCCATTTGAATCTGAAATACAGTGATATGTTCAAGGAAATAAATTCTAACGACAAAGGTCCTGGCATTTATGAAATGTTTGGGACTCCGGTATATTCCCGTAAGCCTGATGGATATGATGAGAGTAAAGGTAACAGGAATGTGCATTCTGCTCCAACTGGGTGGTGTAATGCTATGAAATATAAATCCAACCATTTCAGTGGGAAGAAGAGTAGCAGAATAAGAAGTCCCCAGAGGAAAACATACTCTAAATCACACAAGAGCCTCAGTATTAAGCAGAAGCCGAAGGAGAAAGAAGTGGCACCAAAAAAGGTGTCCAAGTTAACAGGCTGCAGTCTAGAACAGGGCAAAGATGTGCCTGTCGCTTGTGCTGATCTGCAGATTCAGCCAAAAGGGAACACTGAGTCATATTATGAAGATACTGATCAGCAAGCTCAGATTTCCACTGAGTTTCCCGAATCTGCAAAGCAAAATGAAGTCTTTCCTAATTCAGGCTTGTCACCAATTGAAGAAGTCTCTTTGGAATATACTTCAGATGATGATGATGATGCTTTTCCTAGGAAAGCATTTGCTACCAACATCCAGGAGTTACTTTGGCCAGAGGTTAAAATTCATGCAGAATATGCTCCTTTCTTTAGCTGTGTGAAAAATACAAATGAACAAAATAATGCTGTAAAGAGTAGAATCTTAAGGGATGGACAAAATAAAACAGCTGGTTGCCTTGTGGAGCAGGAAGCAAGCCAGATTTTACACTGTGAGGATAATCAAAAGCCTTCTGCATCCTCTTTTACAGACCGAATAAGCTCACTTTCTCCAGAAAATCTCCAGCTTGGAAATGTCACTATAGCAAATATGACACCTGCATGGACTTGCTATCTTGCAAACCCAGTCTCTCAGTCATATACAAATGTCTTTGGTTATGAAGACTATAAGGAAGTAACGGAAGACATATTTTGTTGTTCAGTCACTAAATTGCTTTCTCTGGGTGGGGCAAATGGCAACAGTTCTAGTGCGATGATCAAAAATGTAAATGTGGAGGCACAAAATGGAGACTGTTGGGATACAGATGATAGAACAGCAAATGTTAAAAATAATAAGGTAAGTGAGCCCCATTGTATCCTACATTTATAATATCACAGGTAGTCTAATATTCAGGGTGTGCTGTACTTCAATCTCTACATCTCTTTCTTCTTATTTGTTCTTCCTTTAGGCAGACTTGAGCTCTTCGTTCTCTCATATCCTCATTTTTATATTTATGGCTGTTAAATAGCAGTTAAAACAAAAGAATTGCTTTGCTGGATCAAACATAATATCTTTCTACTCTAATAGATAACCTGATCTGTTCACACACTGACAAGCAGAGCAGGTAGATCATGGTCCTCTATTGTCTATGTTCAGCATCTGGTGTTCATCTCTATTTAGATTATGTTTCTTGACAATACTAATCCATTGTATATTTATCCTAGAGATATACAACCAATGTGTCTCTGAATTGTAAATTAAATAGTAGCAATCTCAGTCTCAGGGCCATGGTATGACAAGCAGAACTTCTTTCCTATTTCAAATGTTGTTGTGTAGAATTCACAGAATATAAACATAACTCAGAGAACAACTGACATTCTATATTGATCTTGTATTCCTCCTCTACCAGTGTGCTCACTCTGTTTTTCTGCCATTATTTGCAGAATTTTTGTCTGGATTTCATTGAATATGATGAAGGAAATCCACTTTTATATGGAACTGCTTCTTCAGAAAACAGCTTAATTAACCAAGATTCTATTTTGTGGACCAAAGGTGAAATCCTTGGAAAAGGAGCATATGGCACAGTAAGTTGTATTGAGTCTGTACGTATTTCATATAATGTATTTTTAAACATTTTAATCTTTTGGACAAAGTCCTCTCAAAATGGCATAGAATAACATAAACTACAAACTTAAAGGACACTGAGATACAAACTTGGAAACAAACTAAGCTTCTGATTATTGTTAAAACTAGAAAAGACTCTCAACAGATTTCTTTATGTGGGGTGACTGTGTAGTCATCAGTAGTAATTAATTCAACTGATTTTGCCCTGACCCTCTTTTGTTTTGGAGTGTGGCCTATGACTAAATTTCCTAGATATACAAGTGTTTACATCTCCACAACTGATTTCAGTGGGAGTTGTCAACCATAGCTGACAGGAAGCTGGGCAAAGTAGAGGGTTTTGTGTATTGATAATTAATTATAGTCCTGTTTCAGCTACTCTTAAGTGACACAAGTTAAGATACAGTAAATGCATGATAAGCCCACGCTGGAGCTTCTACTCACACTTATCACCTACCCCTCAGGTTCTAGTAAGAGAAGAACTTTGCAGGAAGGAGGGAATGTAGGATGGTTTTTTTATTTTATGGATTTGTGATCTATACTTTTGTAATATGTGAATAGATAGAGGTCTGGATAGATGGGGTATTGTTTTGGTTGTTGGAGGGGCCTTGCCAAATAGCTAAACTGATTTGACAGGATGAGGGAGTTGGGCTATTATACTAAGAATGTCATGAGGAAGAGGGCCCATTTAGTGTGGGTAGAGAAGATATAGCCATTGTAAGAGAAGGGGATGAGCAATATGAAGCCAGTCCTCTCATATAGCCCAGCTGGCTTGACAAAGAACCTGGACTCCATATTTCTGGGAATCATAGTTCCAGGGTCTTGTTATTCACTTCCAGGTCCAAACATGATAAAAACTTGTTTCTGCACAACTTAACTGTGAAGTAACACATGGTCTTGGCTGGTGTTAGTGTAATCTGGTTGGGAGAATAGACGTCAATAGCCCTGAGGTTTTGGGTGTTTCAACAGCCAGAGTTGATTTGTATGTGTGACCATATGTGATGCCTTGGCCTAGCAGATGCCCTATTTCAAAGGTGGGGGGTTGCAAGAGTCTACAACGAAAGTAGGGAGAAGCTAATTATATTGCTAATGTATCAGCTACCCAGGAGCAGCTCTTCTTGAGTAGCTAACCTCATACTGGGGCTGATGTTGGACTCTCCCAAGTTTCTGGGACAGAGGTTTTATCTTAATTGATATCAGACCCAATGCAGACCATTGCTTCTTTCAAAAGAAGCAGAACTGCACCTACCACTGCATGGATCCAACCACATGTTGCCTTCCAAGAGGCTTTGATCAGCCAGGTAGGACATGGATCTAAAACATAGGAGGCAGAATTCTGGCTGCATTCCTCAGCCTAACCTAAGAAGCTCAAATTCTTCTCAGTTAACCAAGCAAGATCTCACCTTAGTCACCTCTATTGGATCTGCACAGTGAGAGTCCAACTCTGTATGAATCCAAGTGACTTTATCTGACGGATACCTTGAAAACTCCTCACAGTGGCCCTGAGATGGTTTACCCAAGAGGGACTGAGTCACCCTAAATGGGGCCACCAGTCTATCCACAAAATAGAAAAATATGCACATTTTGCCACTTTTACCATAAGGCAGTCCTTAACAAAGGATTGTACCCATGCTTGGTCAGACTCAAACCTCACTTTCCTCCTATACTTCCCTCAAGACTTGGGAGATAGGAGGAAATATGTTAAAGTGGTTCTCCTTCTTCCTGAGCGAGCAGTTCCAGTTGGTGATTATAGGGGAAGAGTGACCAGATCTGAAGCCTCTACTGTATAGTACCTGGTCCTCTCCCCCATGTTTTTTACCATCCACATAAAACTCCTGGGAGCGGTAAGTAATCAATATGCTGATATCCAGTTTGTACATGTCTATTCTGGGCCATTCTGCAGATGCTGTGAATGTCCTTGGTGTCTGGGGCTGTTAAGGATTAGATGAGATGAAACAAGCTCAGACTGAATCCCAGCAATTCTGTTTGTCAGAAGCCATCTGGCTCATTGCCTATTCCAATGTTAGGTCTGGATTGGGTCACACTGCTCCTGACCTTGCAGGTCTACAATTTAAGGGGCTGAATCAATATTATTGCTGTAATTTTTCAGTTTGTGTGTCATATACGTTGTAACCTTCCTTGAGACTTTGATTTGGCAGGATAGAAATGAAATAAGTAAATACATAGTAGAATTATACAATTATGATGTCATAAAATGACTGAGTTGGACGATGCCATTGAGTCCAACTTCCTACTCAGTGCAGAAAGAAAAATTAGAGCACTTCTGACCAATTTCTATCTAGCCTGTGTTTGAACATATCCAGCAGTAGGGAGTCCAGCATCTCCCTAGGTAAGCGATTCCTTGAACTGTTTGACATTTGGGAAGGGGGGCATTTAACTTCCATTGCTGAAGTGATTAAGCTGAATAAAATCAAAAAAATGTTATTTATTTGTTCTATGTCAAAATGACCTACTTTGATTTTTAGGTTTATTGCGGACTTACAAGCCAAGGACAATTAATAGCCGTGAAACAAGTAGCACTGAATGCTTGTGACCAAGCTGGCAATAAAAAGGAATACCAGAAACTGCAAGAAGAAGTTGAGATTTTGAAAAACCTAACACATGTCAACATTGTAGGATACTTGGGGACAGGTTTAGAAGATAACATAGTAAGCATCTTCATGGAGTTTGTTCCCGGTGGCTCCATTTCCAGTATTATTCATCGTTTTGGGCCATTGTCAGAAATGGTCTTTTGTAAATATACAAAACAGATTGTACAAGGAGTTGCATATTTACATGAAAACTGTGTGGTCCACAGAGATATTAAAGGAAACAACGTTATGCTTATGCCTAATGGCATAATCAAACTCATAGATTTTGGATGTGCAAAGCGCTTAGCCTGTGTGAGTCTGACTAATACACATAGTGAACCTCTGAAATCTGTGCATGGCACTCCATATTGGATGGCTCCAGAAGTGATAAATGAATCTGGCTATGGAAGGAAATCAGATATCTGGAGCATTGGCTGCACTGTTTTTGAGATGGCCACTGGAAAGCCACCATTGGCTGCCATGGATAAACTAGCAGCCATGTTTTACATAGCTGCCCACAGAGGACTTATGCCTTCACTACCTAAGCATTGCTCAGAGAAAGCAGTCGATTTTGTACATCTGTGCTTAACAAGGTAAGTGATTTGTATACATAAAATTAGACAGTTTAATTCACATTAACACAATTAAGTTTATTGAGTTTGAGTTCCTTAAAAAAAAATAAAACAGTAGATTAGCCATTGCAATTCAATCACAATTACATCCATGGCATGCAAAAGGTCCATCTTTTCTGACCCCTCCAGGTAGGATTGAGGAAAAGCCTTCTCGATAATAGTGCAGGGTGAGATATCCCTTTCTTGTCTGTGTTAAGTCATTTAACTTCTGCAAAAGCATCTGGGGTGTTTCAAGCACCCTTCATGAAGTTAGTCCAAATCTTTTGACAGGCAGGAAGATGCTGTTACTTTAAGATAGATATGGGGAACCTTGGCTCTTCAGACATTACTGAACTGCAATCCCCAGTGTTCCTCCCTATTGGACATGCTAGCTAAGACTGTTGCAGTTTATAATTCAATGACAGTTGAAAGGCCATAGATCCTCCACCCAATTTTATGTGAAGAATTATCTCCCCTCCCCCTTTTTAATGAGACTGAAACTTTCAAACGGTGGCAGAATTGCATTTCTAGCAACTGCTAACATTCCAATTGCTACTGACTAGCTATGGGAATAATTCTGAAGTCATGCTGGTAAAGTTATGAAAGCTCAAGTCTGACATACTTGAATTTTAGAGAAGTTGTACAGTTACTCTACAAAGGAATTCTGTTCAGAATTAAACTAAACTCAGTATTTGATGGGGATATGTTGGAAATGTATTTACAGTGAAGCGGTCTAGGTTACTATTTGGATTCTTGATGAGCTCTTGTACAAATTGGAGTGTAATTCCTTTCTGAGGGGAAAAAAACACACTATCCATAGCAGGACTGGGGGCTGCAAGAAGAAGAATGGATAAAATCACCTCCTTCCTTTTTTTCTAAAGGTCTACCCCATGAATGGAACTCCAGTGAGCAAAAATTTAGATTGGACTCTTCATTTTTTAAAAATATCAACCTAATGTGGAAAAATAGTTTGTTGAAAGAAGCAACTGCTTATTTATATATCTGTATTTGTATCTATATCTAGCCTTTCTATTTGGTCAACACAAGGCAGCGAGCATACCTAATGCTCCTTCCTCCTATTTTTCCCCACAACCACCCTAGGAGGTGGGTTGGGCTGAGAGAGAGGGACTGGACCAAAGTCACCCAGCTGGCTTTCATGCCTCAGGCATGCCTAGAACTCCGAGTCTCCCAGTTTCTAGGCCAGCACTTGAATAACTACACCAAACTGGCTCTCCAAAACTTGACTTTTCCTCCAGCAGTACCCAATGGATTTCTATTGGCAAGTCAGGCAACTTCCCTTCTTCTTCTCTCCCCGTAATCCTCTGTGGGTCCATAGACTGCCCCAGAAAATCCCTAAACTTTCTAGAGATGTGAGAGCTTGAGGGACCAAAGGAACATCTCCTTGCCATAAGCTCTTTTAGCAGAACACTACCATGTTGTTTTCATCTGTTCCCTTTAAGACACTCACTGCCTGCCTGCCTTGTGATAGCAACAACTCTGAAAGCAAACCACAGTAACATTTCCAGACCCTCAAGGAATCTGCTGCATATCATTATGTGAAGGAACTTGAAGTAGGACTTCTCAGGATGATCTTAAGATTTGTCTAGGATTACGCAGGGAGAGGTGACCCTTCAGATACTGGAATGTCAAGTGGTAAAGGGCTTAAAGCATTATTCTAATTACCATATTGTGGGCTAATTGAGATTTCCAGAGGCAACCTCAGCTACAGGACATCGCAGTTATTTTACTAAGTGCCAATACAACATTCAGATTCTTCTGTTACATAGCCATCTGAAAAGAAAATAAGGAAACACACATAATGTGAACTTGAAAATGTATTTATCACTTAAATATAAACTATCAAGAACCATGGTGAGTTGGGCAGTATAAAACTTCATGTAATAAATGAATAAATTATCTGACAGCTGGCCATATGGCATTAAATTTAAAGATTCTGAGCTAAATAGGGATGTTTGTGTGACTTTGTAGAGAAAGTCAAACTAGTTTAAAAAATTTTACTTTACAGATTTATATGTATATAAAAAGAAATTCAATAATCTTAGAGCACGACCTTCAGTTCAAATGCTGGATAATGATTATCTTAAAAACATTAAGATCATTAAATTTTGTTTAAAAATAGAACTTGGATCAATGCCAACACTGGCATATTTTTTCAGGGTGTAGCACAATCTTTGACTTTGAGTACATAAAATAAAGCATTTAATACACCTAAGATACAGATATAATTCTTTTATAGACATTCTACAGGTAGAAAATCATGAGAAATGAAATATGATTTCTACCCAAAGGTTTTATTGTCTGGCTGTTAATTTCTGTCTTTTTAATACTCCATGCAGGGACCAACATGAACGGCCTACTGCCTTACAATTGTTGCAACACCCTTTCATAATACGAAACTCATGAAACTTGGCAGTGCTTCTATTAAACAAATGTCAAATTATTTTGTGTGTATGGAAAAATGGTCTTTAAACTGAGAAACTATGGTTGGTATAAAACTTGTAAAGGATGCTGAAATAGTAAATTTTCACCTTTTCTGAATGAACTTTGTATCAAAGAAGTTACCAAATAAGAGTGTGTGTGTGTGTAAATAAGTTCAAATAATTAGACCTATCAGGGCTTTTTTTACTGAAACAATTCACATTCCTGCCCTTCCCCTCCAGTGGAGCCACTTGGAGGCGGAGAAGCCTTTGGAGCAACCTGCAACACCATAAGCTAAAAATAATAATCTATACAGTCCTGGAGAAAGAAGTATTCTCGTACTCTCTAGATTCTGGCATAAAATTAAGAGTCCAATGTGAATTACCAGCACACAAGATATTCCTGATAATCTCAGATTTGTGTTCTTAAGCAACAGTACTTTCAAGAACCTATTGTATTACATGTAAATGTGGGAATGCTATAGCACAATCCAGTGCAAATTTTCTCAGAAATCTCTTTACATTAAGTGTTGGATTACATTGGAGTGTATATTTCTACGTTAAACAATGTTACAGATAGAAGACAAGACTTGATTGTTACTCATGTCTAGATTGCCCAGGTAGGCAATTCCAACAAAGTTCAAAAACTATTTTAAAAACTACTTAAACATTCAAGTATAGACAGACATTTTGTGCATTGAAAAGTTCATTTAACTATCCTATTTTATGGTATTCTCTCCTGAGACATGCAGCTAGCCTAAACTGCCATCTTTTAAGGGACTCTACAAACCTTATTTGAATGCTGTTTCTTGATGTACTGTATATATTCATGTATAAGCCCATATGTGGATAAGCCAACCCTCAATTTTTTAATCAAAATAGCATAAAAAATGTGCCACCCCAGACAAGCCGATCCACATTTTTCATGGTATTTTGGTTAAAAATTTGAGGGTCTGCTTAGCTGTGGATAGACTATACAGGATATACAGGTACTTTTTAAAAGTATGACTATATATACTGATAAGCTGAACCTGATTTTTTGGGTGCACATTGGAGCCTAAAATTCTTGGTTTATTTGCAAGTATATACGGTATACTTTAAAATGGCATTTTTGGAATTTAGTTTTATTAACTGTTTTTAATACTACATTGTGCTATAAAAGGTCTGTTCTTCTATCTGCTAGCAAATGGAAGAACAGGTTTCCCCACTGATATTATCTTTAGCACCTTTTGATGCATCTTTTAGTTTCTGTTGTAAACATCTTCACATTTGGGTCATCCTGCCCTGCAAGTGTTCTGCCATCCATATTTCACTCAGATCTATGTAATTGTCAGTGCTAGCATATATTTATATCCATAGCATTCCTCCACCTTGTTTCTTGCTTCTCCGTAAAACATTCCATCACTGTTTTCAGCAAACATAGGCTTTACAGGAATCTGGGAACAAAGAACCTAGTAAAAATTCTCATCCTCTGGGGATTTGGTACCCTGCCTATGTTGCTCCCAATGATGGGGAAAGACAGTAAAGGAGAAACATGCAGATTTATACAGAAGAAGAAATCCAACTTTCCTTAATTTCACATTAAATTAGCACATAATACTGATTGTACTTGAACATACCCTTATCTAGGACTACATTACCATTTGGCAGCCTTTGATCTTTCATACTTGAAACTAGCAGTGAATTCTAAAGTTTTAAAAAATATTTATTTTTACTTTACTGTATTTTGAGTCTTGCCGTTTCTGTATGTTGAATACTTGTTTCCCCAAACCATATATACCAATTGTTCTTATATTTTAATGGGTAGGTAAGAAATTTGAAAGCTTCATTAAAGGAGTTTGCTCCTAGAATTTATCAGATCATAGCAGCTAATTGGAAAGGAAATAGTTTCTTCTGAAATTATTTAAAGTATTGTGAAATTCCAGTTTAATTTCTAATTTGTTCAAGCTTAAATATGAGCCACCTTAAAAAAAAAGTCAATCCCTAATTTTTCACATAAAAGTATTTATGTGATTAGAATTGTTAAATCCTTTTACATGATATACTAACTTGTTCTTGGAAGAAATTCTTTAAATTCCTAATGTTCATAGTCATGTAATAGTTTCTGATGGTTACTTTGTTTTAAGCACTGAAGCAGAACATTTAAATGCAAGAATCAAAGCAATGTAGCAATGAGTCATTCAAACCCCAGTATGGTAGCCTTCTCAAAATGATTGAAAAAGTCACTAATAAGTGGAAGTGCATGCTCTTCAGGTTTAGATATTATACAGTGCGATCATTCCTGATGACTGGCAAGGTCTGCTGAAGTTCATTGCAATTATAGTAAAACTTGACTTGTCTATACTCCTATGACTGAACTTCACAGTGACTATGCTTCTTTTTCTTCCATAGAATGAAAGTTTATTTTCTTTGGCCACAAGCATCTTTGCTTTCAGAGATTTCAAATTTCTTACACCAGTTTAACAGCTATAATTCGTTACAATACAAAATGCCCCATTTTCTTCCCATTTGTCATTCAGATTACCTGAACCTTGGCTACTTAAATAAAATGCTACTATATGCTATTAAGCATTATTCCATCTCTGGACATAGTATTCTTACCTATGACATTTCCTTGTTAACTTCACTCCTCTTCCATAATGGTTTCTTGTCCAATTCCTCTTTACTGTTGCTTTCTTTAGCACAAATACAACCTCCCTCTTGATTTCAGTCATAGTCTACCTATTTGCTGAATGGAATATAGATTCCTTAAGGGCAGTTTTGGAATGAGAGGAAAATACTGAAAGTTTCTAAATAAAAATATTAAGTTAAAAACTGGAGCAACATGAAGCGCAACAGCAAAGTTAGCAGCTTCAGGTGTTAAGTTAGCTTTCAGATATATATCGGTTTACAAGTTGTATACATTTTTGAATTTTAACTGTTTAAATATTGCATGAGCTCCTAGGGAGCTTGACATACACTCTAAACAGAATATACACATTGACAACACATACAAATTGCTTCAAATTAAGGTTAGAATCTAAGATTTCTATGAATAGTATTCCTCCATTGAAAAGGGCAGCAAGAGGGCAAAGGCTTCTTCCCTGTGGCTTCTTTTCTCCAAATCTCATGGCAGGAGTAGAAACTGAATTTCACTCTTAACAAAGCAAATGCTCAAGGATGAAGTTGGCTGGCTAGCATGGAACATTTATGCAACATTTATACTGAATCCAAAATATGTTTTAGCACTTAAGATCTTCACCTTCGTTAGGAACATTAGTTCTTCCCTAGAGTAAATTTCTTAACTGCAGGAAATTCTAACAATGATAAACATCGGATTATAATGTTCAGTAACTTTAAACCAGATTAATTGTAAAATGAAAATGCAAATAAAGAATTAAGCCATTACAATTTCAGAAGTCTCTAACTGGATTGAGAGTTACATGGAACAGACTTCTGCTAACTCTGTGTGGGTTTGTGTACATAAACAAGGGAAAATTTACATATAAATCCCTCAAGCATGCATTCCATTGTGTCACATAAAAATATGTTACTGGTGAAATAAAATAATCCTTCCTCTTCCTCTTTTTTCCCCCCAGCAGGAGCCATTTTCTATGAACAGTTCTTGTATTCATGAAACAGCAAGTAGTTATGCATTACATTAACATATTAAGTAAATTCTACAGATCTGTTATTCATGTCTGATCAGCATTTTAGAGTTCACATTCTTCTGCATTTGCAGAAATTTATAGCTGTTCAATTAGGTTTATGTCTTTTTAAGAGAAACCAATCTACAGGAAAATGAAAATATTAGAGAACATTCAGTCTATATACAATGATTTCAAATAGCAGAGGAATAAGGGCAGACCAGAATCCCAATCCTATGGTCACTTGTTGAGAAATACAGAGGACTGGGTTCCAAGTACCTAAATTGAACTTCAAGCATATTATTTCAACAAATGTAAAATTCAAGGGTAATTTTTATTTAGATCTATAGCCATGTGCCCATTATATCTTCAAACTGTAATGGATAAAATGCATTCCAAGGCAAAGCTGCAAGCTGGGAAGCAAATACTATGAGACTTTGTAAATAAATTTTATTTAAAGCAAACATTTACTGGTTTGTCTTCTTCCTACTGGGAATCACAGTTTAAAACATTTAATCTTTCTTACACTGTATGTCAAAAGCTCTTGAGGATTTCATAGCATAAATGAGGTAGTGAAGAAAGTCTAAAAAGGCTTAAAATGCAACAACGCAGGATCAAGTTTCACAATACAGGGTTTAAGAAATACTCTCAATATAAAAATTACAAGGGTGAAGAAGTAACAAGTATGGATGAAAGAGACTGAAGAGCTAAGGAGTAGATTAAAATTTGAAGATACATTATTCATAGTGCCCATGTTAAAGTATTAAAAAGACACCCATAATTCAAAAAAATGTATTCAAGTATGCAGTACAAAGTTTTGCATTACCGGCAACTAAATATTACATAGTAATTGATGCAACAGTAGTTACATTATATTGTAACCACTAATTGGATACATGCTCAACAATTACCTAAAGCACTAGCTAAAGGGCTTAAAACGTCAGACTTTCTCTGAAATGTTTATAACCAATTAGAGCATAAACTGTGCAAGAACAGATGTTACCAAGTAGTGGATCCCTCTCAGATATGAGGATAACTTAACAAAATCTTTTAGATTTTACACCCAGTAAGTAACACTTGCTACTGTACTGAATTTACGCTGAGGTAATTTCCGTGCACTTAGGGTCACAGCTGGTAAAAATGGGACATCAGCTTGAAACATGAACTCATCAACATTCACAACAGTCATTTGTTTAAAAAAAGGCAAGTGAATGAAAACAGTAATATGACACAGCCATAAAAATGTATACTAGTGGTTTAATTGGAGAGTGATTATTCAGATCTGAAAAAACAACCTCCAGTTTTGTTACTACAATCACAAGTACAATTCATGTAGCACACGTGACAATTATTTTATTGTCTGAGATAAGGGAGAAGTTGGTATACCAACAATTGTACTTATTTATTGCAAAGATAGTATTCCACCTGTAAAGGAAATGGCATTTTACTCACATAACACACTTTTTAAATTCAAAATGTGGCAGTCTGTATGAAATGCTAATGGAAAACAGTGATCCCTGTTCACTAATAACTTAAGTTTAAAAAAAAACTTACTAATGTCACTATAGAAGTTTACTTATTTCAGTTCTTAAATCACGTTAATCTATATAACCATTATTAACAGCTCTGTGTGTCTATTACTGCATCAAGCCAAACATTTAAATGCACTTTCACATCAAAAAGATTATATAAACTTTATTTTCATTCCCCCTTCTGAAAGCTACTGACATTTCAGCACTCGATTGGTTTATGACAAATGGAGGCCCGTGCAACTTTCACATTGCTTGGCTGAGGTCACCCTGCCGTGGCTGATCATCCACTCCCCACCAGCACATGATCCCCAGTCAGTGGATGGTGCTCAAGAAGTGGCTCCCAAATAAGGCCCAACGTTTAACATGAAGTGCCACTGAAGTTTCTTCCTTATCGATGCTGACACAAGGGAAAAAGTTAGGTACACTGGTTATACTTACAAGCAGCTCCAATCCTGAGTATTTATGGTATATCTAAACATACAAAAATGTATGTACATTCTCTCCACTTTTTGTTGTAAACATTTGTCAGTATACTTTACATATCCCTTCTTTGAAACATGCAAATCATACATACAGTATAAATACACAAAAAATTTACACTCATTCATTAACTAAGCAACAAAAATCGTGGCTGGCATAGTCAATTATAAATAATGCATGAGGCATTCCATACAGCTAAAAGCAGCCATTTAATCTACTGTTCTTAACTGTGGTTGTGGAAATACTGTGATTTTTGCACCTTCTGTATCATCAGAGTATTTATAACACTATCATATGTGGAGACAGGCTCATTTACTAAATCTCTTCTTTTCAGAGTGAAGGATAAAGCAGCACTTACATATATACATATATATATATTATATATATATATCTATATATATTTATATAAGGTGGAGCAACAGCTGCTGGATTTGCTCTTCTTAGATGAAGATTTTCTTTCTAATAATCTTAAATTAAAAAAAAAAAAAGGGAAAAGGGACCTAAACAACTGATTACATATTCATTCCTTGGGCACTTAACAGTGAATCCAGCATGTCGAATGTGTCTTTGTAGTCCATATGCTGGCTGTTTGTACTGTACTCGTGACTGGCATCAGGACCGTTCTCCACTGGGTTCTTGTCCAGTTTCACGAGGGTGCTGAGATGTCCGTAGCCCACCTGGTATGTGACATGGGGAGGAGGGGGTAAGGGAAGGTTAAAAACAGAGTTGAGAGAGGATACATACTGCTTAACAGAGGAAGAACTAGATGAACTACCTGAACTTTTGGAACTTTTGCTCATTTTGGAATGATGGTTGTGAGAAGCTTCATTGCTGAACAGCCTCTTTCTTGAAGAGCCGGAACTAGAGACACTGCCATCAGAACTCAAACCAACAGGACTCCTCAGAACAGCTGGTGTTAATCCATCACTACCATGTTTACTGCTGCCACTATGCTTATGACTGCTACCATGGTGACGGTTTGCAGAATGTTCCTTGTG